TCAGGTGCGCTCGCAACCACACAAAGGCGCTCAGTAAAGTCATGGCAGCTCTATGACGGGCTCTCCTCAGCTCACTCGGACTCGGAACTCAAAGTTTTCGAACGTTAAAGAGATGTTGTAATTCACACGATCTGCAAAAAAAGGTAGCTGGAAAAGGTAGCTGAAGATGTCACAACAGCGCTGAGGTAAATGCTGAAAAGGCTGCGTTTGAGGATAGAAGAGTTGAGGGAACTGTGAGCCGACCCTTGCCGCTCCACGATACACGTAGTACTAGTAAGTGCGTATCCAAGTTTGCTTCTTATGACTCTTCCATACATTTTCAACGTTTTAGGAATTACGAGCGAGGATGTAACGTCTTCTAAAAGTGAATCCGCTGGAAATTTGGAAACGAAAATGGCAAAAACTCCTCGGGTTTGTATTCATTGTTATGTTGCGGCTGACAAATATTTGAATTATCTTTTAGCCCCGTAGCGGAGTTCTGCAAGCAGTGAGACGCTCATTAGCTAAGCCTGGTTCTGGCCCAGAGACAATGAAGAGGCTGAGCTCTAGAATTGCAAAACAAATGCAGCAAAGTTGCAGTGGTGCAGTAACTCGTACTAGCGCTGTAGGAAAGGTTAGTGTTTTCTACTTGTCTATCTCGCGGGAAAATGTGAATTCGTTTTTAGTGGTTTTCTTTCTTCTTTTAGCGAGCTTCGGTTAGGACTCCGCAATGGCATTCGGAAATTACCAAGCCGCTTCCTCCAAAGGATTCTGCGTCTGCAAGGGTACTTTGTTTGTTTTCCTTCCTCAGTCTGCTAAGCTATATTTTCAGATCAATTTACTTAGTTCTGGACCTGCAGATGATAAATGCCAGACATCTAACGCACAAAGTAGGTTTTCGATGGTCTGAAAAGAAGAGTTGAAGAATCAACCGAGAAGTGACACCTAAAAAAGCGGCGGCAGTGGAAAATGTGAGTTTTTTCATTTCCGATCTCTAATTCGCAATGTTGACATTGCGAATAAGA